TGCTGTGGCACGTGTACCATAGGTTTGCCACCACTGTCCTAGACCAACCTGTGTGGGTCAAAGTCATAGCTGAGGTGAACTCCTTGGGTAAGCGTACTTGCCTCTCATGCATCTAAGACTAACACGTAAGAACAAAACAAAGCAAAAAGAACTCACTCTACTGCTTTCTCTCAGAACGGGCATATGTTTTAAAATGCCCTTGATAAGCTGGGCCTCACAGTACACACCTATAATCATAGTACTCTGGGAGGCTGAGGCAGTAGGATAGCAAGTTCAAGTCCAGCCCGGACAATTTAGCAATTTAGCAAAGTCTTGTCTCAAAATGTGAATAAAAAAGGAGTTGGGGATGTTACAGCTCAGTATTAAGACCCTGGATTCAATCCTGAGTATGAAAAAAAAAGGGTGCATGATATACAGGGTCCACTTACTCTAGCAAACATAGGCATCAATCTGAATCTTGAAGCCTTAATCCAGGTCTCGTTAACAAAGACACAGGAGGGCCAGACGGCCCCTCACAGGGCCGACACCACTCCTTCCAGCTCAGCCACAGCAACTGCGGGGAAGAGGAAAAGGCCTCAGGCCTTTCCCCAAGGAGTGGCTTGGCAACACGTGCGCCCCCTGCCCCCAAGCTGTCTACTGGACCTCAGCCCCAGGAACAAAAGCTTTGGAAAAAGACTTCTGGCTTCACTAAGATATGTTAAAGAATTAATTATAAAGTAAAGCTGACGGGAGAAAATTAATTTTAGAAACACAAGAGGTTACTTTTTTTTTTCCTGGAGATGGGGGAGGAAACACAGTTATTTTCGTTTTTATCCTAGGGGCACAAGCTGGGAGCTGTCCAGTCGATAACCTGGCCATCAGAACAAGGTTTGTAATTAAAAGGTCAGTGACCTGGAAAGCCAGGGCCCCACTCCCAGAGCTTCTCAGTAATGACGGAGCTATTAAATTAAGGCTGTTATGAAATCAATGCTAAAAAAGCTTTCATGGTAACGAGATTCCATTCAAGGACATGCAAACTACCTCATGAAATGGATGTAAATGATAAAAAAAAAGAAAAGTAATAAAAGAGAGTTAAATTGAAATCTGTGTAAGAATTTACTCCCCCTTAAACTACTGTGGTGAGAAAAGTCCTTCACCTCCACCCCGACCCCAAGGTTGTGCCCACCAGGCTTCTTCCTCGAGTTCTGTTCCAGCAAGGGGGCAGTTTAGCTACGGGCTCCACTTCCAGGAACAGAGAAGAAAGGTTAGATCCAGTGTCACCTTTTAGAATGAGAAAGTAGCCATGTGTTTTATTTAGTTTTCCTCTTTCCCATTCCCATCCCTCACCCCATGACCATTTATTAGATGAAAGCGAAAACAGCCCTTTACTTATATACTTCGGAAGAGCTCCGTAAGTAAAAGTGTCAGTCAGCACCACCCTGGCCCCACTCTACAGGATTATGCAGAAACACACAGACATTCACTCTTTTCTAGAAGCCTGCTTTGCAATGCATATGGTAGGAACAGTCAACAGACAATTCTATTCCCTTTTGCCCCTGCAAACACACATCACTTTTACCTGTTTGTACTCAGCCTGCTAAACATGTCTGGAAGCAGACTGCACCCCACATTTTGTGGTTGGAGGAGGTGTCAAATCAACCCAAGTCTACTGACAACCTCCAAGCCTCTAACTTTCTATGCTGATTCCAGGGCTGTTTTTCAGTTACTCTAGCTCACTGGATTGCAGCCTGATTACAGCCCCAGATATGATGCCTGCCTGGCAAGAAGTGCTTCTATATATAGACCAGTTCTGTGAGGGCTTAAGCCCCACACCCAGGCCAATCATCATCGTGTGTGGCTGACTGCAGTTGACGTGTCCTCTACAGATTCAAGCGCTTGGAAGGAAAACAAAAACATTCATCCTGATACTCTGAAGGTGAACAGCTGCTTTTCTCTTTCATCCAAAAAATTCCCGATAAAAGGAAGAAATGCTGTAAATTACACAAAATGGCAGTACAAACTTCAAAGAAAATGATAAATGATTCTAATAACTTCATGTTTCTCATTAATGACTCCATATTCAGCCTTTAAAGCATCCAAAGAGATCTCCAAACAACATCCCTAAAAACCTAAGCAAGGCAGACCTTTGCAAATCAATGCCCTGCACTGAGCATGCTCTGCTGCCCACCCCAATCAGAGAGCACACTTAACCTGTCAGGGACAGGCAGGACGCAGCCCCTGCTCCAGGCTGTGGTTTCACAGTAACATGAACTCAGCTGATATGCCTAAAGTAACCCTCATTCTCCACTGAACTGACTTGCACTACAGGGACCTCAATTTCTATATTAAATATTAAATAATATTAAAAGAAAAACAAAACTGGATTTCCCCTTTCAGGAAAGAGATGTTTATTAAAAAAAAGAAAAGTCAAGATTATAATTCAAGTCAGTGCTCCACTGCAATTCCCTGAAGTGACATTTGCTAGGAAAAGCACAGGCTTTGGCATCTGGGAGCTCTCCCCAAACCAGAGCCTTGCACCCTCCACAGCCACGACCCCGCGGGGAGCCTGAGAGTGTGGACACCACAGCGATCCCTCTTGGCCCCTTCCTCAACAGCCACTATTAGGGACGGCTGCCACCATGAGGGATGGCATAGGTGTTCCTCACTCAGCCACCATCAGAAATGGTGCCAAGCTGTGTAATCGTGCAAGCCTGACCCAAGGACCAGCGGAAATTAAAAAGTGAAGTTTAAATCCACGAAGGGGCTTTTCTTCCCCAGACGCCCATCAAACCTTAGAATTCTCTGCCCAGAAAAGGTCCTGCCAGAAGTTACTCTCCTGGGATTCAACTCGGAAATGGGTAATTACCGACTGAAGCAGCATTTTAGAAGATAATGGAGATGGCTGATTAGCCTCAGTGATTCCGGGTTTAAGTTCAGGGGTAAATCTGTGTGGTTGTCTTTAGAGCAAGAAGGGCAGGGGAGCATCTCGCAGTTCTGAGCACCCACAATTCTAAAAACACTAATCCAAGTTAGGGAGCCACTCTACCGACAAATCCACATCTCCTTCAGGCCCTTGCTCACTCTCCAGCCTTTCTGAGGCAGCTGGCATCCAGCTGCCCTCCTTAAAATCAACTCCACTCTGCACTAACTGGTCTCCTCATCCCCTGCTCCCCACTGTCCGAGTCCCGGCGGAACCCGTCAGCAGACAGACCACACTCCTCCCCTCTCCATTTGGTCATGCCTGCCTCCCCCAACTAGAATGGCTGCTCTCTGAGGCCAGGGACTCTGTCTGTCCTATTCCTGGCAAATCCCCCTTGGGAAGAAGCGGGGTGGCATGGGGTTACACACTCACTCTTGGGTGAACTGATTCATCGGTTAATTTTTTTAAGAGCAGCAAATAATAATTGTGCAGAACAGTTTCCTCTCTATAGCAATTATGAGCCAAGTGACTCAAAAGAAGTATTATTTGGTACAGAGTTTCTCTCTCTCTTTTTTTCTCTCCCTCTCCCAGTCAGGGATTTATTAAAATTAAACAGATTAGATGGAGCTCCTGATACTAAAACTGCTCAGCAAAGCCTGCGGTGGGGAAGTGCCGAGCAAACACCAGAGACATTTGTCTCTAAATTGCTCTAAATACCTTCTGCAAATGAAATTCTAACCCAGCTGCGTTTGAGAGAAAATGAGGACTAACTGGTCATTGTCGGTGGAGGAGAAGATCAGACAGTTATAATATTGCACAATGTACTGGGTAAGGATCTCTCGGCAACCATAGATTTTGTCTCAGGTTACCCCGGGTAATCAGCTCAGCTTTTAGGCTCAGCTTTCTCCCGCTTCGATGCTTTGATGAGAGAGCTGAAATCCCTAAGCTTTTATGATTAATTACTCCCTATAGGTACACATATTTCAAGGAAAAACTCTTTTATGGCATGATGCTTGCAGAATGGAGAGGCCAGCCAACACACTCCAAATTTTAATAATCTCCTAATGATGGGGGGGCAGTGAGCCAACGCAGCCAGCGAGCACACAGCGCCCCTCACCAACCCTGTCACAGAGACCAGCCTTGGGGCTGCTGCGAAGCAGCTGCCTGTGAACGAAGTGCTTGGGCGCCCTGTGCCCAACACTGCAGTGTGGTCAGGGAGGAGCAGGTGCCAGGACCAGGGCACCGGCAGCACCCCTGCAGGGGAAGCATAAGGCAACCAAAACCACCGTCGCCCATTCCAGCCTAAAGTGAGGGAAATACCACAACTTTGAGGCTTACGTTTCAGTTTTTACAGAAAAAAAGAATTTTGTTTTGAGGAAAGGATTCCTCCCCCACACCCAGGTAATATAAAAGCCTTTAAACAACTTCCTGGATTGTTATGTAATTAAAGAGTTCCAAGAATAAAAAGTCTAGATTCTTTTTTGATTGATTAATTGTTTTCAATTCACCAAAAAAAAAAAAAGAAAGAAAAGAAAAATGTCCTAAATTCCAACAGAACTAAAATAGACTGTGTCTGCTTCAGACCCTGAATTTGTCAGGCTCATTTTATGGCACATCCAGAAATACCATTGAATTGTAACCGGACGACCCCAGGCCTGACCTTAAGATGACCTTGTTTAGTCATCTCACTTCCACTGTCCTTTGCATCTTTCTTCCGCATTCTTTACTGTAGCAGGTGGCCTCCTTGCCTGTAGCCAGTCATCCTGCAGCTAGGGTCAGTGACCCAAGAAAGGACCTCAAAGCAGAAGTCCTGCACATTCTCCAGAGGGCAATGCTGCTGCTGAACACGGCTTTGGCCGTGATGCCCTTGGCCTTCTAGCTGGTGCTTAATTATCTGAATCAGGCAACCTCTCTGCTCCATTGTTAGAAAGGAAACTAGCACTTGGATGTGGGGATGGGGTGTCGCTGGTCCTCAGGCCCCACAACCCCACAGCAGTGCACAGCGGCAGGAGATCTCCGCTGCGCTCGGCACCCGCCGTGGGCTCTGTGACTTCCTCCTGCCCCGTCCCCAGCCTGGCTGTGCAGTCATGAGAACCTGTACCTTTCTTCTTAAGGAATGCTCTCCTGGTCGCAAGGGGGCTCTGGCGGACCCGGGAATTCTGTAGAAACTTCACTGCTGTGGCAATCTGGTGAGTGAGATAAAACAGAACAGAGTAAGCTTCAACAGTCTGGATTGCAAGATGAAAAATTCTGAGTTCCCTGGGCCCTAGACACAAGTGTACACTGTGGTCAAATGTTTAGCTATTTCTTAAATTTCATATCCACCTAAATGCAAGACTGGACTACTTGGCCGTCTTCTTTTGGCTTTGACTCTTCCATCTGAGTCCATCAATCTAATGCCTGAACTGAGCTTTGTGGCCCTGCAAGGAGCTGTTCCTATCTCCTCTCCCCGAGCTGCCCCTTCAGCCATGCTCACGCAGTCAGCGCCCTTGCGGCACGGACGCCTTTTCCCTGGCGGGCCTCCTTTCCGCCTCCACCCTCTGCGTGTTACACACGTACACACACTCCTCGGTGCAGCCCTTTATAGCCAGTTCTGACTCCTCGGGACCTTCCTTACGTGAGCAAGCCATCCCCGATCTCCCCATTCCCTTCAACTCCTCAGTGCTGCCATTGCACCATATAATTGAAGGCATAATTACACTGCCTTCCAGCGAGCAGGCAGCCTCCCTGGCTCCACTGCACGCAACTGAGGGGAAGAGACCGAGCGCCCACTCAGAGCCTGGCAAAGTACTGAGTGCCCACGGACATGGAAAGGGAACATGAAAGAGACAAAACACATGCTTGGTCACAACAGTCCCACCTGTGCATTCCGAGGAGCCTTCAAAGGGCAAAGTTGGGGGTTCTCTGATGTAAGCTGACAGACTGACAGATTATCCTATCTCTGGTAATGAACATTATTTCAAATCTTTGTATCTAATAACGAACAAGCTGAGGAGGGGATGAAGGGAAACTGCTAACAGCATTAATCTCTGTGTCACTCGGCACACACAAGGCCTGGGTTCACACACTGCCTGTCCGCTCCCATTCACTGATGCTGGTCTTACTAACCTGAGCTGCCCACCTGTCTCAGGTGGGAGCCAGACTGTCTGAATGAGAGGCTCTATTCTCAACACCAAAACCAAAAGCACTGTGTGGTCTCCTGTTGCAGGCCCTGCAGTTAGTTCACTTGTGAGCTGCTGAAAACATTTTGGGGCCTGCCACCCAATCACATGCCAGTGCCCCTGAAAGCCAACCCCAGCTCCCTGTGGGTCATGAGCTGCCCTCCAAAGCCACGGACAGCACTGACAAACGACACGGGCTCCAATGAAGACCAACCATCTCAAGCTAAGGAAAAGCCAGCCTGGAACTTCCAGAACTCAAACTACCTATCGCCCCCTTGGTTCCTCCACCAGATCACCTCGAGCTGCATCAAAAACCAAGAAAAATGGAACTTTATCTAGAACACTGATGTGTTTTGATGAAAAGATGGAGGGATGAGAGATAGAAAGGAAAGGAAATGAGTAGAGGAGGGAAATAAAGAGGGAAAAGGCAAGAGAAGACAAAACACAAGCAGGAAAAAAATAAATTTTAAAGAAGGCAAGAAGGAGAAAATAAAACCCAAAGGAAGAGAGGCGCGTGCTCTGGAAATGGAAGAGAGAAGAGATACACATTCAGGTCCCATGGGTTCAACACCAATCTGCACTGCTCAGATGGTTCTGGGATAATTGTTCTTCACCTGGAGGAAAAATGCACCTTCAACACACAAGAAAATGACAGTATTGGTAACGCGGCAGTCTCTGTGGCTGCGATGTGTACGCCAGGTGTCGGAGGAAATGTGGATGAACAGGTCTTAGGCAGGAGATGCAAATAGCTCCCATCATTCACCCACATAGAAAGAAGCCTTCCCGCATCCTTCCAAAATTTCCCATGACAGAGAAAGAAAACAAAATCCCACCACTAAAACGCACAGGTTTCACCTTGCTTTTTTAATATAGTCCTTGGTATATGCATTTCTGGTCAGAGAGCAAAGTTCTGATGGGTTTAATGGTGCACTCAATGCAGTGCTTGGCGCATTCCATCAATTTTTTTTTTAAAATTGCATCTCTTATTTCTTTAAATACATTAATCAGCCTAGTGTAGGCAAAACGGATCCATCGGACAATGCAATAAACATGAATTATCATCTATCCAACACGCATAATGGCTTAAAAATACATAATAGCAGGTGTAGTTTAAATGATTAGTTATTACACCTGTGGTGGGTCTGATTCAATTGGGAAAAATCATCTTTAATAGGTTAAAAGGTTTAGATCACCATGCTTTCCTTAAAGTGGCTGCAGAGAGGGAATGATGGAGTGCTCTGTCATTAGTAATTCATTTAAGAAAAACGTGGGGGATATAGCAAAGAACAGCATAAACGAGCGAATCCAATTTAAACATCAGGTAAAGTAGAAAACACCTTTTAAAAAAGCAAGATAAATGAATTTGGAAGGGAGATGAAATTGACGTATTTATTTTAACGGGAATTTGACAAAGTCCCAGCACACTTGAAACTTGCAAAAATATGAACAATTTCTTTTAAAGTTTCCATTCACTAATTTCAAGTCATATAAAATGATACTGCCAAACACCTACATAAAGTGTATCTGAGGCTTGTTTATGTTCCTCTTGATCTTTGTCTGAAAATGCAGGTGGCAGGCAAATCACATATTTAACAGCATCGATATCACTACATGCAAAAATATAAAGCACCCAAACTAACAGCCTCAACATAATGTGCTGAACAAGAAAGACACCCCAATAAGCGGCTCCGTGTAAGTGTCAGCCTATGGAAACCTCTCTCCTCCTTGCACTAATTATTCTCCCAGCTACTCCTCACTGCTCTCCTCCCTCCCCACAGGCACTGACCCTACAAGGGAAGAGGGGAGGGCCTGGCCAACCCTTGGCTTTGTAGCCCTATGATTCATACATCCACAGGAAAAGATTTCCCAAACTCCTTACCCATGATGCAAAGATTTTCACCCGCTGAATAACTGTCAGGGCACTCACTTTGGGCCTTTCACCCGCCTATTGTTGGACACTTTTCATTAACTTCATGAAGCAATTCAACTGACTTTCCTCTGCAGAGGCCCAACGCACACAACTCGCTTTTGTTGGATTCAATGATGGGGTACTGCAGCCTGTCCTGTGTTATCGTTTGATTTTCTAATTAGAAGATGAATGTGACTATTCATGGGATATATTTGCGCCCAACTAAATTACATAAATTCAGGCCAAATCTTCCGCCTCAATGTCAAAGATGTAAAACGGAGACAGGAACTTTATTGCACACGTTGTGGGAGTGCAGCAAGCCAGGGAAAATCCTGGCGCAAGGCTCCCAATGCCGCTGCTGAGCCACTCGCAGCAGAGTCCGTGATAAATATGGAATTGCCTTTCCTCTCCCCTTCTCCTGCACTGATTGAGTTCTTAATGAATGCACCTCAAATTGCCAGTAGCTAGTTTAAAAAAAGTACAGATGACAAACTCAGAAGAAAACAGAAGCAAAGTTTCTCACTCTCCATAATCCCTCCGGCCCAATCATCCAGCTTCCTGCCCACCCCAGGCAAAATAAAACAACCCTGCCACCATCAACTGCACAATTTTAAGGAAATTAGGTAATTTTCACTGGTTATCGCATTAGAGATGGAGGAAAAACCAAGGTGCAAAGGAGAGCAGTATATTCTTTGCCATCTCATAATCTAACTATAGTTAGCAACTTGGAAAAAGAAGGGGGGACTTCAGGTCAAAAAACACCTTTGGATCCAAGATGATCAGCCTACTGAGAGAGATTTGTGTTTAAGAACAGGATTTGTAACTGTATAAATCAATGGAGCACAGTGTATTCAGGGGTTATCTGCTGTGAAAGGCGCACTGTTAAATGCATTGTGTGGGGTAAGTAATCCCTAGTGGGAAGAATCCAGGTTTCTGACAGTCTTCACTGAAGAGATGCTTCCTATGTATTTTCCATTCTCCTACAAAAGACCTGCCACACTATAATCTTCAGAGTGCACACTTTATTTTCTGTGCGAGGGGGACGGGAGAACAGAACCCGCCTAATAAGGAACCTGGGGTTTGAGGGAGCTTAGCACTTTGCACCTGACATGTAAACCTGATACATTGTCTCCAGTGACACCTATTTGGAATGCCACCAATTCCAGCACTCCTGTGTACTATATACACATCTATCTCCTAAAATGTGAGCATTCATTAGCCATTTTAAAATATTAAAAATATTCAAAAATTAATGGCACTAACAAGCCAAGCCAAGTCCTTTTTATCCCAGAGTGATCACAACTAGAGGACAAGGGGAAATGGCCAGTATTTGGGCCTAAAACCCCACTCCAGCGCTGCCGCTGTGCGCTGCTCAGAAGATTAAATTGCCTGGAAAGGTTCCTCTGCTCCTGCTCTAAAGCAGATACCCAGAATCCTGTTAATAAGCATTAGACCAAAGCCAACTCAAGTTTTAACAAGGGCTGACTTTAAAAGTCAGGCAGTGCTGCAAAGGAAAGAACTGTCTTGAAGCAAAAATGCTGCGTTTTAGTAAGAAATCAGTACTCTGTCAGGAGTTCCTTGACAAATATGGTCATCGGTGGCACAAGGAAATAGTTGCAAAGCAGCTGTTAATCAGAGAAGCACATCGTAGAACGCTGATGCTAGCACTCATGAAAAAATGCAACGGGCTAATTATGAAGCTATATATCTCACTAAAGAGGCCACGTTCCTTGAGATTCCAGGCAGAGCACTCTCGGATCCAGGGTCCTAGGACAGCATAATTCTGATTTTCTACAGCCAGCGTCCTCTCTGATCTACCATTCACAAGCCAGGGCGCTCCGTTTCTCTACAGCTAGGGCACTTTAGGAGGGAGGGAAGGAAACACTGCAGCCACAAGCCACATTCCAAGATGCTGCACGAATTTGTCCAGAAGTGACACCCTAAAGTAGGAGACAAATCCACGAGCATGTGAAAGAAAGGCAACCGTGGAGTCACACTCAAGTGTGGCAGGAGGGCAGATGTGTGTGAGAGTCAACAGAGGGACACTGCCCCACCCCCGTGCCCAAATGGAAAGAAAGAATAAAAAGCAGCATCAATAAACAAAAAATTAGAGATG